CGTCACTCACCAAAAGTTGGAGGGCAAGAATAAAATAAATCTCAAATAATCACGTTGTATTTTTGACGAGTTAAGTAAGTGTGTTTTTTATGCCCTGGCACATGAGCTCACTCTCCTGCGCTCAGTGGTCGCTGGGTAAGTACTTACTGGGAAACTGCGATTGTGATGCATTATTTATGCACCTCATCTGATAATTATGCCCTTGGGCACATCTGCTCAGAGCTGACTCTAGGAAATCAGAGATTTGGCCAAGGCTGGGCAAAATTAAGTAATAACAGTAATGGCATGATTGGAGCCCTGGGTTCTCGGGTTGTGGCCATGGGGCCTGTTGCTGCACTTGACTCTGAGGCGCTCGGATTGGCTGGGCCTTCACCATCTTGTTTCATTTTGAACTTTTTAACAAGCCTTGCTTTACTTTCATTAAGGATAATTTTCTCAGAGACAGTAACAATGCCCTAGACCATCCTCTCCGTTGACTTGTAAGAATTACAAGATACTAACACAGGCCTTCAAAACGACATTCATGGCAAAACGGGGCCTGAGAAAGCAGACGGCTTTACACATCCCGTCCCCCCATTTGCACTTCAGGGAGCGGTAACCAGGGTCTGCTGTCAAACAGTAAACAAGCACCTCCTTATCTAAGAACCTGCTTGGTGAGTCACAGCCCGGTCCTTTGAAGGACACAGAGCTCGTTATGGGCTGTAAAGTCAGACCCGAGAGTCAGGAGGGCCCCACTCCTGCCCCTGTGAGCTTGTTGGCAAAACTGATAAGCACGCCTCCTACCTCTTTGCCAAGGTATTGATAGAAATACGGAGGAAGAGGAAGTGCTGAGGACAGAGCCGGAGCCGCACACCCTTCCAGCACAGGCACAGCCGGGGCCCCTGCGGGGCTGAGGGCGGGAAGCGGCCCAGTTTCCCTGTGCCGCACCTCGGGCCTGCCCCACCGTGTCCCGATTTCACCAGGGATCTTGTCTGATGCTGGGCACTGTCTCCCGACTGAGAGTGCCTGGCCAGTCCTTGGACTTCCCCGGTTTGAGCACCAGAAGGCCTCCGTCCCAGGAGCCCGATTCCTGGACAAAGCAGGACAGCGGTCACCTTGCCCATTCTTCTCAGTGAACGGAATGCAAGGTCAGCGTGGGGAAGAAATGAGAACAGTTCACCTTCACTGTCGGTAGTGAGTGCATCCCGAGTCCTGACAGACGACTGCTGTCACTCTAGAAACCTGTCTCCACAGCAACAGAAAACGTAGCTGCTACGCTCACATCACAGGCAGTAGTGATCCCAGACAGGGTGGCCTGGGGGCGGACGCTCAGGGGAGGTGGCCGCCAGGTGGGACGCACTCGGCCCCTCCACACCTCATGACTGACCACTGGATGCCTACAGAGGGGCGTCATTACCCAGTAGAGACGGGAACGCTCGGGGATGACTCTAATCTTTTTATAAATATCCTATGGACAACGTGACACAATTGTGCTGACGTGTAACAAGAAACTACCTCACACCTGGGTACTGGGCCATGAGCATCCTGGGAGTTACAGGGGCTTGGTAACCGCACCTGGGGGGGTGGGGCAGGTAGAAGACCAGGCCACCAAGCTGACAGGCTTGAGAAGCCATGCCCACCAGACACCCCACCCCAGCCTGGTGGCTCCTGGTGAGAAGATGCCTTTGCACTTGCCACAGCCTGTGACAACATCTGCCGACTTATGACCCAGTCACCTGTCACCACCCCAGTAGTCTGTACAGGGTAGTTTGTCTTTTCTGGGAAGAGGGGCATAGGAAGACTCATTTTTAAAGAAGAATGCCAGTTAATGATGGAGGAATGACGGAATGAGCAAGTGGCCCTTTGGCAACCCCCAGGAAAAACTGATTCTGGCAAGAGCCACCAATGGCTGCCTCGACCACTAGGTACAACGTTGGTGGAGAACAGGAAACCACGTTTGCCAATTTTTTCCCCTTGTAGAATGTCCTTAACTTTTGGAGATTTGTTTCCCTTAGTAATTATAAAGGTAAGATGGTACCTTTCTGGCAGAGGCCCGGTGGCCTTGACCTTAGCCAGGTGCCTGAGCATCGCCCATCCCAAGCTCGTCCCCAATGTGCTCACTGACGCTCGCTACACATCCAGGGTTTGATGTGACAACTGGCCAGGACCCTTCAAAAACCCGTCACGAGAAATTTTAAGAAATGGGAGGGTGTATTAAAAGAGAAATAAAAGGAAACACAATGTTTGAATCTTGATCGTCTTCTATGTCGGGAAAAAAAGCCATAGAAAATTCACTTTATTTTTTTTTAAAGTTTGTAACAGAGGACAGTTTATTAGAGGAGGCAATAACAGCTCTCAAAACGAGAGGGGGTCCCAACTGGGGTACCCCGAAAATTCACTTTAGATCACCTGGCAGGTAACACTGGGCAGTTAGGCTAGACCACTGAATTAGTGTTCATGTCCTCAAGTGTGATGACAGTACCGCGGTCACTGAAGCGTGTGCTCTCGGAGGTGCAGGCGGATGGTAAGGAATGATTTTCCATAATAGAGGATAATTTAAAAAATGCTTTTAATCACTTTTACTTTGAGCCGAATGCCTTCCTGGTTTTATATTTCACTCTGTGGGGGGTGGGGGCGGTCTGGTCACAGCTCTGTCCTGTGTCCACAGGAGGCAGGGGTGGGCTCATAGGCTGGTCCCTGGGGCAGGAATAAAGGACACAGGCCAGCCGCCATAGGCTTAGTCAGTCCTCTTCAGAAACCTCCCTGCATACTCGGGAGTGGGAAAGTGCTGACTTGATAACCCACGGAAGGTCAGAGGCCCATACATCCTCGTTTGGACATGCTCAAGGTCAAATTCGCTCAGCTGCAGCGGCCCATGGACACACGAGGCATTGTTTCCCAAACACACACAGCCCTCAGTGTTCCCGAAATGACCTTTGCATCCTTAGGACAATCTAAACTGGTCCCAATTTTCCCTTTCATCATCTTATCCTGCAAACATCATTTTTCATCCTTTACCCAGCTCTACTCAAGGTAAATGTCAGCTTGTGAACGTGACCCTCCGGCCAGCTTTGTCAGTGTAGCACATGATGCCAAATATCAGGGTGAGAAAAAGCGAAGCTCCCACTCCCGGGCCAGTGTCGCCTCCCCAAGAAAACCTGTTTGGCAGACCTTCCGTGACAGTGTACACATTACCGGTCTGTGCATCCTTAACCCTCCCCGCTCAGACGAGGCTCTCAAGCTGCTCCAGCGTCCTCATTAACGCATGAGTTCTGCGTGAGGCTGCCCCAGTCAGAGCTACTGACCTGGGATGTGCCTCAGAGTGGACAGTGGACGACTCCAGGCCGGGTCTCCTGCCTGTATCCAGTCCTTACGCGGGCGCCACTGTCACAGTTGCTGGAGCTGCCCAGTGTTGCTCTGGGGCCCTTCCTCGTGTAACTCTCTCCTCCAGGGTCCTTAAGCTCCCGTGTAGAGCTGGTATGTCTGTGTCCCCCACCCTGACCTCCGGTCCTGACACTGACGAAGGTACCACTGTCCTTGGAGGTTTCCCAAACTCCCCTCCCCGCTGCAGGTCACAAGCGTGCATCTAGCTGATCTGTTGCCAGCATTCCCACCTCAGCCGCCAGCCTGCACGGAGGCAGGGAATTGTCATTAGCACACGGTGGCAGGACTTCCTGGATGAAGGGAGCAGGCGTGACTTACACACTAGCTTAGACGGCCTACTCTTCACAGACAGGCCCCATTCCAGTCCCCATCGCCACTCAGCAGACATCTTTGTGGAAAAGCCCTCAATAAAGTAACGGCTCTCTTGGCGCCCTTACCACCTGCGGCTTTCTTTCTTCGTTCGCTGAGCTCAGAGCCCGCAGAAGACAGGGCTGGACACGGACTTGGGTAAAACACGGTGGGTCCTGGACGCGCGGTCAGTGAGCATGAGTGCGCGCATGTCTCTGTGCTTTGCGGTTCATCTCAACACTAACTTTTTCACGTTTCCTGCACATTTCACCATTAAACCATTATGTTACACATACACGGAGACATGGCTTCATGTTGTTTTGAAACAAACTGCCGTAGGGCTGTGTTTAATGGTATCTGAAAGTATGTGACAAAGCGGGAATGTGACAGGAGTGGCCTCCATGAGGTGCCCATGATGAAGGGTGCTGCTGGGTCCGTGTATGTATAGGACATTCTATACTCACAGTGAATGACTTTTTGCAACAATTGAAGGTGACATTTAAATCAAGTTTCAGCATTTAAGAGAGAAGCAAATTCTAAGGGCTGTAAAAGCAAGTGACATTTGTGAATCTGTGGCACGTGGCAGGTCCTGCGTCACAGAATCAGGGCTGGCCATATTTAGGAGGCGGCATGTGTGTCCCTCTCACTGGTAAATGGTAACTCACGTCTAAACCTCCCAGGTCCCAGCTCAGGAGGCAGCACCTGTGAAGTGCCCGGGGTGTGTTTGGTGGCTTCAAAGTTGTTTAGGAAAGGGCATTACGACTTGGAACTGATGAGTATAAGTGACAGAACAGGGAGGAACGAACATTCTTTACTGTTTCACAATTTTGGATGAGCGGTGGTGAAAAGCTCCCACACGTGCTATTAGGTTGTTGGAAAAGTCATGATGTATTTTTTCTATGTTTTTTGTTGCAAAAATGCATCATGACTTTTCCGACAACCCAATATATTGCACCAATTTGTGCAAGGCTTACGTCAATTGTTGACTTTTCCAAAAACACTTGCATTCCAAATACTTCCAAGAATCAATAAATATCAGGTACCACATTTGGGTTTTGAACTTTTAACCAATATATAAAAAAGATTTCAAAAAGCATCATTTTTTTTATAACTGCACCCTCTGGTGGCCCATTCTATTAGAAAACGAAAGCCACACACAAGTGCACACCCACACCTGTCACATCACTAGGAGAACACCATCCGGCCCCCTGCTCCCCCCCACCCCCTCGCCGCCGCCAGACACACACACACACACACACACACACGAAAATGGTTTAAAACACACAGTGTTTACCTTGGGTCAAAATTATTTCAAAATATATTATAGTATTTTAAATACAGCAGACCATGAAGTAGCTGCGCCAAGTTCGTACGGTCAGCAGAGTCCAGGCTGAACGGGCACCTGGCAGCCCAGCCCCCACCACCCCTACATCCTCAGGGAAGCCCGGCCCTGCAGGGCCTTGGTGGTGAGGTCGGCTCTCGCTCTCAGCATGCTGGCGTCCTCGGCACTCCCGGCGGCCTGCTCGCTCTTTAACAGGAAGTGTCTGATGAAGAGCGCCAGGCCCTCTCGTAGCACGCCCAGCTTTGGGTTGTCCGACACCCTGGAAAGGGATTGCATAAAGCGTCAGTGGTTAGCTCACTGCTCTCTCCTTGGTCTCAGTTCTGGGGGTCTCCAAGGTGGAGACAGAACCTCGTTTTTCTTTTAAACACAGACTTCTCAGTGAAGAACTTAACACATTCCACTTCCTAGCAATTGCTATCAGTTTGCTATTAGGCGGGTTTCATGTTCCCCAAATCTAATGCATATTAGCTTAAAATTAAAATTGAATGTGATTTAAGCTACATTCAACTTTGCTTTTATAAATCAATCTCACTTCATCTCTTTTCCATGTTATCAGAACAAGCTGGGAACATACCTTGCAAAAATTAAACCAAGGTCTTCAACTTCTGTTTCCATTAACAGCATATATAACACTTTTCGTAAAAAGTGGACTCTGGGTTTGTCCAATTCACTGAATTCAACCACCTAACAGAGCCAGGACAGAAAGAAAAATAAAGTTACACTGATTTAGCCAACTTTTTCAATGATTTCTAAATATAGTAATTAGAGTAAAAAATTATCCCTTCCCCTTTAAATAAGGGTGTTTGCAGTTTTATAAAAGGAACAGTGTTGGCAGGACCTGGGACCACAGGAACCTTACACGCCGTTGGCAGGGGTGTACAGCTTAGGAATCAGGAAGTCAGTTTCCAAAAGTAAAACATGTATTATCTACATGCCTTAAATAAACTCCTCAATTAAACCACACACACACACACAGAATTTAGATCTAGGAGAGGCTAATTCACGTATACACATCCCCTATACATGAGAGGATACTGTACAGTGTAATACTATACAGCAGTAACAGAATCAGAGAATTGTGGACATCAACATGGATAAATTTCAAACTCAGGTTGAATTAAAGAACTGCAAAAGGATGTAAGTAGGCTGACTGCACAACACTATCCTCAGATTAAAAACACGACGGTGCTAGGAGCACCTGCAGACGCCCAGGCACAGCACGAGTATAGGCACGCTTGAAGGAGGGTGGCCCTGGGGCAGCTTCGAGCTCACCTGAGCTCAAGGACACCGCCAGGTCCTGCCGCACTGCGGCTGCACCGCCAGAGGCACCCAGTCCTACTGCGTTTTTGGAAAGTGGTGCAGCAGTTCCCCCTCGTTCTTGGTTTCGCTTTCCGCGGTTTCAGTTGCCCGCGGCCAACCTCAGTCAGAAATGATTCAATTTCCCAAGACACCGGCATCATTTGCTCCTGACATTGAGCCCTTGACACTGTCACAGCTGACGAATCAGGATCGCCGGAGGCACACAATCCTCCTTTGGACGTCAAGTCAGGTCAAGAGCAGCCTAACGCTGCTCCCAATGCCTCACGTCACCTCGCCATGTACGCACTGTATCACCTCATATCACAAGAGCGGTGAGCACGGGACAACAAGGTATTTTGAGAGCGACCACATTCGCATAACTTTCATTACAGTATATTATTATACTTGCTCTATTTTATTAGTTATTATTCTTAATCTCTTACTGTGCCTAACTTACAAATTAAACTTCATCATAGGTGTGTGCATACAGGAAAAAGCATAGTATGCACAGGGTTGGGTACTATCCGTGGTTTCAGGTACCCACTGGGGGTCTTGGCAGGCACCCCCGCGGATAAGGGGGTGCTGCTTGCTGGATGAGGCTCAGTACCTCCATTTTCAGTACAGCAGCCAAAACCCAACCCCATGCTCCTGAGAGACAAGGTCAGCCTGAGTTTAAGTACTCTGGTGAGTGGAGAGATGTGAACAGGAGCGCACAGCTACAGCCTGTCCTGCAAATCAGGGAGAAGGCACAGAAGAAGTCCTGGACGCGAACTCTCCCTGACCCTCAGGTTCTCCCAGTCCGTCCCCAGTGGTGCCACCTCGAACCCTGGCTCCTGCATCCAGGCTTTGCCGTGCACTGCAGACCAGCACTGGGCACCGGCATTCCCTTGGCTTTGATGCAACGTGGAAGCGAGGCAGGGAGGGGCGCCCGGCACTGCAGTGCCTATGGCCAGGGCCCCCTGCACCTTGGCGCCGAGACCAGCTCCTCTGCCCCCACTAACTCACCAGAGGCCAGCACAGGACTTACAGCTAGGACCTGCGCATCACCCCGAACCCCGGACCCGATTCACTTAGATGAGCAGAACCAGTGACTGTGCCTCCGTTTACCAGGCGGACTCGTACTGCGTGCTCTCCTGGCTGTTGTCCCTGACGGCTGAGACCACACAATCGCTTCTCAGAATCTGAGGAAACGTGCTTCTTAAGGTACCAAATAGAAACCCCTGTATGAGCATTTTCACTGCTTTTAGTAATTTCACGTTATACAAACCTTTAAGATGGAAAGAGGGAGTGCTTTTGTCTTCAGCAAGTGGCCCACCAGGCGGACCAAATTAGAAAAATTAGTGGCCGGCAAATTTTCTAAGTCCCGAAATTTGTCCCATATGCTGAACTGGAAAGTCATCTAATATAACAATTAAAAAGGAGAAAAGTTTAAGTGCAACAAAGCACTGGAATAAATCACTAAGAACACAGTCTGAAGGGACTCCACTCACGTATCTGTAGGGTCCTAAACGCCACGGCTTTGAGCAGCAGCCACTCCCCTCCCCACGTACAGCTGTCGAAACAGCTGCACAGTGATTCTGTGGCTGCTGTCATCTCCCTCCAATCAATAAAAAGATAGAAAAGAGCGTGGAAAACGACGGGGCAGCGTGACGCCAGAGGCGCCCCTCAGGTCACCAGGCCCCCGCACATAGCTCCTGACTCGGGGCACACACTCGAGGTGGGCTGAGCCCTACAGGACGCTCCGAGAGGACAGCGGAGCGTGGGTGACGGGCGGCCTTCTGGCAAAGTTACCTGAAACCTCCTTTCATAGTCACAAAACTTGGCAGCCAGGAACGCGTAGAAAGGGTTGTACGTTTTCTCTTGAAGGCAGCAATCCACCAGGACATGAACGATTTCCCTCTCCTGCTGATCCTTAAGTCCAAGCCTAGAGAACACAAAGAGTGGTGACGAAGCTTCGACTTGCCACATTTTCGCACGTTCAGGCAGAAATCCTTCCGAGTACAGCATCCTGCTATCGTTTCCGGCCGTTTGGTTAACAGGGAGCTGGGTGGCGGGGTTGCGGGAACAAGACAGGAGTGAGAGGCCCGGCCCTCAACTCTCAGACCTCAGGGCTTCCGACAACGTGGTGCATGTGGAGGGGATACCTCAACCACAGAGGCCCGCGACTGATCCCCAAGAGACGAGGAACGGGATTGACACTCAACAGCAGGCCCCAGTCAGGCTCTTGCCATCACACTGGCTTCCTCAGGTTTTCAAAAACTTATGGTCTAATTCACACACAGTAAAATCCACCCTTTCAGTGTACAGCGCTGGGTTTAGATAACTGTTTGTAGTCCTGTAATATCTCCCTGTATCTCATTCTGAATTTGAAGCAAGTAAGGAAAATGAATTAGTATTTCATTTGGTTAGTAGTGCTTTGTAAAAGGACACAGGTACTTTTTAAATTTTATTACAACTAATTATAGAAACTACCAGAAGTTCTTAAATTGGAAGTGATTAGAAGACAACTTTAAGCTGAAGATTTTAAGCAATTCATAACGACCGACAGCCACTGAGAATTACCAGCCAGTCCCCTAATACTTTTAATCCAAACACCTCCTAAATGCTCTCATCGGGAACGACTGGTGGCCAGCTGGCAGGAGCACCGGCTTCTGGCATCCAGGGCACCGGATGGGACCAGCCCGGCTCCTCCCGGCAGCCCGGCCAAGACGCTAACTCAGCTTCTTATCCTCCAACAACAGCAGTCAAACTGCAGGTCAAACGATCTCATAAACGCTTACTTTAGAAGCTTCTCAAATGCGTCCAAAAAGTCTTCACTCGTCATTATTGTACAGAATATGTTCCTCCGGACGTCAGTGTTCATCCTTTGCTTCCGGGCGAGTTCCAGCACCTTCGCGCTGACCTGAAGAGGGACGCCGAGGTACGGGTCACGTGGGTTTCAATGAAACCCGGGGCTCAAGCTGGTTTCTAAAAAATCATGTGTGATTCTGTGGCTTGATTTGAGCATAAGTGTAAATTATATGTAAATATATGGACGTAGACCCTAAGCCTCTATTCTCGGGCAACCCCACAAAGAGGAAAAGCAGTCTGAGAAACGGCAGCCCCCGGGAGAGAACGCCTCCTGGAGCTGTGAGTTGTGCGGCCTGTGAGCCTCAGGTCACAGCTAGAAGAGCCAGCAAGACCAGTGTGATGTGGGATCCTGCGACAGAAAAAGGGTCTCCGGGGAAAACAAGGGAAACCTCAGTAACACATGGGCTTCAGTTAATAATAAATACAAAGAATTCTGACAATCTGAAATCTGAGGTTAATGGGTCAGCAGCCACCTCTCCTGGGGACGATGTCTGCGTCTCAAGGACTGGGGTCTGTCTGCAGCAGGAGTGTTGGCTTTCTGTTCCCCACATTCCATTCAACTTTTAAGTCTTTTATGTAACATGTCTTGAAGCTTTAGACAAATCTTTTAAAAAGTAACAACAGAAACGGAATTAAATCGTATTAAAAAACTAGCAATTTCTATAAGGTCATTCAAGTAAGTCCATGTCTGTCTGCACAACATCCAACAAATAGAATACTAGGTGGCCGCTGCAGGGAAAGCCTGTGAGACACGGTGGGGACAAGGGGACATGCCTGGTGGCAGTGAGCACGGGGTCACCTACCGTGCCTGCCAGCTGCTTCGGCGGGACCTTCTGCTGAGAGCTGTCAATCATGGGGGCCCCGCTCCAGGCGGACCCCACAATCCACCAGCGCCCAGTGTGCTGGGCGTTCAGGATGCCCTCCCAGGAGACACGCAGCTGAGTTTCCGGGCCCGAGCCAGCGCCGCGCACCTGGTGGACAGAACAGGAGCTGGTGGGGCGTTGCAGCCGGTCCCGTCTGCGTGCCGCCTTCGGTTTCTGACGATGGCGTTTCTGTGCAGGGGTGTTGTGACGAGGCAATGCCAGCCGGACATTACCCTGGCTGGAATAATGCCAAGTGTGTGGGGGGGTGCGCCTCAGACTCAGAGGCCACAAGGGGAGCTCCATCGGGCTGGCGGGAGGAACGCGACCAGGAGCGGCCTGGGGCCTGCTGGAGGCGGCTTTCTGGATCTGACAGACTCACCCTGACTGGGAGGTCAGTGGGTCTCAGCTGTGCCCCGCCTGGGGAGCTTCAACAGGTGCGTGCCTTGCCCCCCAGGCTAATGTCACTGGTCTGGGTGGGGCCCTGGCCCCGGCCCTCTTCCAAAGTGATCAAGGGTTCCATTGTGAATCTACTGTGCAGCCGAGTCAAACAGCAAAGGCTAAGTGTGGGGGACGCTTAACTCACAGGAACCCCCTCACGGGCCACTCACAGGGACCCCCCCCCGGCCCCCCAGTTTCCATCTGAGCTCTGGGAACTCTTACTAACCAGATGGGCACCTGACTCGCAGTTCTGACTACCCTCTAGACTCTCATGGGGGCTCTGTGCAGACACGGAAGCTGAGAAGCAGTTAGCAGTGAGCGTGATTTACCAAAGCTCTTTGTAACTTCCTCAGTTTCTCCACAGGTTCGGGATCATAGCCCGGAATCTTACGCATGTCATTATTCTTCAGGGCCAGCATCGTCTCGAGCATAAAGCGGACCTTAAAACAAAGAGTGGAAAACCATCATTTCAAGTTGCCTAACAGAGCCTTCAATTTGGGAAGAAATCAACCAGCTCTGTGCATGCGGTCATCACTGATGACACGTCAGACATGGTCCCAGCCTGCACTAACGTACCAGCTGGCTCAGGGCTTTGCAGTTATTTTAATATAAATCCATCACCCGGCCTTCCCTGGGGCCCGGGCACTGCCCAGAACCACAGGCTCCCTCTCCCGCACCCACCACTTCTGACCCCCCGTCACCCAGCCACGTGCCGCTGGCTCCATTCTCCAGGCTGTGCTGTCACCCTCTCCCCCCACTGTATCTTCAACTTCTTCCCCACTCTCGGCATTTTGACTTTTCTAATTTTTAAACTGGAAATAATATCATACTTAGAGAGAAGTTGCAAGAACAGTACTGAGAATTCCCAAATATCCTTCTCTGCGATTCCCCCAAATGTTAACTTATTAAGCTATAACTCACGTACACTAAAACTCACCCATTTGAAGGGTACAATTATTACATTCAAGGTTGTGCAACTGTCACCAGTTTCCGAACACTTGCATCACCCCCCAAAAAGAAACTCCAAACCTATTAACAGTCACACCCTTTTGTCCCCAACTCCCTCAGTTCTATGCAGCCACGAGTCTACTTCCTGTCTCTGCAACTTCTGTTTTAAACTTGACCTCTGAGCATTCAACAGAGGGCGAGTTCTTCCTTGGGACACTCCGGCTGGCTCCCAAGCCCTTCCTTATATTCTTCCTCCTCTCGGCCATGCCACCAATGTTGGCACTTCGTAACCTTGAGGCTCCCCAGCTCACGGCTCCCAGGACCTCCTTGAAGGGCTCAGCCCACAGGTTCCTCCCAGCAAACTCAAGGACTCTCATTTCAGGATTTCAGAAACGGGCCACTCTTCCCTTGAGTCTGTCTCCTCCGGAGTGTACTGCTGTCCACGCAAGGCCCGAGCTGGGGACCTGGGCTGACCCGACCCCTTCTTGCCTCCAGGCACCCCAACCTACACCTAGTCTGGTCCCCCCAACTCCTATGCTAACCCTCCCGCCACCGTCCCCGGCCCCTGCAGTGGCAGCTCCCGGCCTGACCCCTCCCTGCTTAGCCGACGCGACCATGTCATGGACCTGTTCAGAACGCTTCAGACGCCTCTAGAATAAAATCCCCACTCCTTGTGAGCTTTGCAAGCACCCTGAGGAGGCCTTGGACCTGCTCCCGGGGGCTCCCCACACGAGCCGTTTTCTTGTTCCTCACACAAGCCACATCCTGACCTCCCTTAGGGGGCTTCCCATGCCCTCCCGCCCCCCAATCAGCAAGCGAGGCAGGAGCAGTGATCAGCCCCATTTCCTTGATGGGGACCCGAAGCCTGGAAGGCTTGGTCACAGTGCTGTCAAGCGGCAGAGCCGAACCCGGGTGGGCTGGCCCTGAGCCCCTGGCCACACGGCCTCCCGCAGCAAACAGGTTTTTGAATGGATGAGTGTTAAGTAAACTGATTCTGAAACTCACAAAGTACCTGAATTCTTAATAAAGAAATAAGTTTGCTCACACACTGATGACACAGCCATCAGACCAACGACGCAGATGACAGGGAGCACCAGGAAATGAAATGTATCTTTTACCCCAAATACTTATTTTAAGTCCTGGTCAGTGTGTGAGCGTCCAGGCACTCAGGAGGCGGGTGGCGACGTGCTCGTACCCTGGTCTGGTCCTGGAACTGGCCGTGCGCCCCGCTGGCTTTGGCCTGGGCCTCAGAGATCAGCTCCTTAAGGGACAGAGCATCATCTTTTCTCAGTGAAAAGCCCACATTTTTCAGCATCAGCAGGATCAGTTCAATATCTTTTTCTGTGAAAGTCCCAATAAGTTTTTTCAAAACGTCGAAGATGAGGAGAGACTGTACCACGTGGAAGTTATACAAATGGGCAATGATGGTAAACAGGTTGTCACACTCCTTCCCTTCACTTCCGTTTTTATAGACGTCGTCAAATTTCCTCACCACGGCCTCCAGGAAGTGAGCTCCGACCTGGACAAAGGAAGAGACCAAACATCACTGCAGACACATGACAATCGTGTCGGTTAGTTATTCTCAGGGATCCTCCTTCCTCTTTCAACAAACTTGAAAGAATTACTGTTTTTAAAATTAATGCATAGAATAGACACATGGCTGGGTATGAACTCCAACAGGGCATAAATTGTCAAAACGTTAAATCTGAGTGTACGGTGCGTTATCTGTGCGAGAACACGAACTCAGAAATGCCAACACGGGGTAGCACAGCACTCAAAGCTTCCCTGTGAGCACACCCCTCGTCTTTAAAATCAACAAGGTGGGATTTCGGGCCAGCAGCCATTCTGGCTCCTTGGAAAAAGAAAACTGTTAAACATGTTAAGGACGCATCTATGTCTCTAAACTGTACTACCATCGAAGACCACTCATTTATCAAGCTCGGGCTGAGCCTGGAGGGAGAAGACGGAAGCAGGACACAGTGGCGTGTGCAGTAATGGCGATGGTCTAGTCGAGAAATGGCCTGAGTGACCGCAGCCATTCCGGCCCCAGAAAGGGACACTGGGCACAGAGTGACCCAGTGACAGGACCAGCAGGTGTGGCCAGCCACTGCAGGGGGAAGACCGAAAGCCTGGGTAACAGGTGCTGGGGAGAGCAGCTGAGTCGGCTGCACAGAACCAGTTTAAGGCGTCATCAGCTGGAGCCACAGGGCGCCAGGCAGGGCTGGCTGGAGAGCAGGAGTGGCAGTTAGAATCGGGGGTGCAGATGAGACCAACAGACAGTCACTGCTAAACAGCAAAAATAAATGCTGGAAGATTCCAGAGAAGGCGCAGACAGGCAGATGGGAGGAGTGACTGCGGAGGCCAGCTCGGGGAGACTGGGAGTGTTCTTTAGTTTATAAAGACCTGAGAGTCAAAAGATCTCACCTGGAAACGCCCCCTGCAAGCCCCTCACTAAAGACAAACCTGAAGAATATATTCTCCTATTATGACTACTACATTATGTTCATATGGAACTAAAAAAAATTAGAATTCTGCAGACATCTAGAAAAATACAGGCATGAAATATACTCAGGTATGTTTTCAACACACGAATGGAATTATTTAATTACATCAAAATTTGTCAATATTTTAGATTCTATTTCATGTCTTCAAAATAAGACATTCACTTAGTATACCTTTTAAAAATAGGAGGAACATACACGTTGCTGAAGTTTTCTAAGCATGCACAGTAACTCTGACTTGGGATTTTAACACAAATCTGCAGAGACCTGACTTTTGATTTCTGAGTGACTCAGAAGCAATTCCAACACGCTTCTTCCTCTCCGAGTCCCTGTGAGGACGTGCTTCTGCTGACAGAATGGGGAGCTTCCGGAAGCAGCATCCGGAGAGCTCATCACCTCTGGCAGACGTTTCAGGGGGTGTCATTAGCAAAAGTGCCACAATGACTTCCCTGGAACGAGTCGTTTCGGTAGTCCTTCACACCATCAGTGAAGGCGTAAGTGACAAAGAGGACTGGAAACCTCACGTTTTAAAGTCCAGTGAGTCCCTGGTGTACTGTGGGCGGTCCAGGTCTATAGCTTTTACCAGCGCGTCGAACGCCGTCTGTGCTAAAACCATCTGGTTAGGAAGCCCCCAGCCTGACGCAGTACCACGGGGCACTAAGGAAGTCCCAGCGCCACAGGCACTGGGAAAGCATCCCGATCCCCTCTACGCTGGTATGCAGAGCAGGACTCGGCATCATTTGTGAAAATGAGCACAATTCTTAGAAACCAAGCCCTTACTTACTTCAGCAGAGGGGCTCCCTCAAAGCCAGTGCACACACAGCCGAGGACAGTCCTGCCGCCCAGAGGGCTCGGGGCCCGTGCCTCTCTTCTGTTCCCAGTCCCTCGTCACCCACCAGGAGGTCTTAGATTCTCCATTCATGCAAAGTTACTGGGGACTAACCTTTAGCAAGCACTTCCAGGGGCCAGACCTCTTAAAAGTCACTACACCAACTCTACAGAGGACACACCACAGAGGCAGAGGTCATGAGTGATGGCTGGTGTGTGGCAGAGCCGTGCTCTAGACGTGGGCAGCAGCGTCCCACACACTACACGGCTGTCTCGGCAAAATCCCCCACAGCACGAAGAATTCATTTTGGCAAGTCTGAGCACTTTAAGGCAAGAGCCCCACTCTGTAGGACTGTGGGTGATTTTTAAGACTATGATGAAGAACAAGCTATAGAAAAATAAAACAAATGGAAAAGCAGTGCAGCAGGAGCTGGCTCAGGAACTGAGCACAAGCTGCAGACCCTTCACTTCCTGTGCTCTCAGGACATCACACACTCTCTGCACCTGCCAAGGGGGCTCAATCAGTGTCTGCCCTGCTTATCTCATTGGGGACCGTGAGGAGTGACCATGACAAGGACATCAAGTGTGCGTACTTACACCAGGTCGGACCTGCAGTGCTCTGCCGCGAGGCCTGTTCTTGGTAGCAGGACTGTCAGAGGCAGAGAAAGTAAAGACCACCTTTAAGGCACGACCATGTAAAGATCCAAGGGACCCACAGGTTCGGAAGATAACTGTCACCCGGGGAATGTAAGCCTCATTGGCTTACACCCATCCACCCTCCTTACTATAAACTCCTGGGATCAGCTCCACTGAGGGAATGGGATATGGACCCGGGAGGTTACGACAAAGGACGACCCCGGAAGGGGTGGGTGACTGCGGAACCAGAGCTAACCCAGAGGGCCAAGTACAGAGTGCGGTGGTAACTGTTTACTCAGCAGCACCTATTAGGCGCTTCACAAACTCTGATTTAATCCCGATAAAGACCTCAGGAGGGGGCTGTGTAGCCCCACCCCAGACGAGGACACGGGCTTGGAAGGTCTCTGGGCCACCTGGCAGCCAAGCCCAGGCCTGTCGCAAGGCTCCTCACTGGGCGTCCAGTTTCACCTCGCATTCTGGGGGCCTTCTTATGAAAAAACGTACGAATGCTTTGGGAGCAAGACCACACTAACCACTGCACTCTGAACATCTGAGACAAGCCAGTGTTAACATGGGGAACACCAAGAAAATGGAGGTCATCTGAGACGTAATAGGTAACAAATGTGCTCGAAGGGTCCAGACACAGAAGCAGAAGCTGACCCACACCAAGGGCTCCAGGAACGTGGCCGAGAACGACGGGATACCAAGCTGCACTGAGCCTTCTGAGGCGTGTCACGGAAACAAGCACGTCTAGACCCCGTCAGAGCCCTACCTCGATCCCCACTGTGCGGTGAAGAACGCTGATCAAGAGTACATGCTCCATCACCAGCCGGCTGGGCACGGCCATGCCCGGGGCGCAGGCGCTCATGAGGATGCCCGTCAGTGTGTCGTTCATGTCCTTCCTGCTGTGCGCCATGTACAGCTCCTCCAGCTGTCCACTTATGGAGGCCATGTTGGGCTCACTCAACCTGCAGACGATTGTAAAGACGGCCGCATGGCGTTTCAAATGAGGAATTACGTTTAGGTCAATTAAAACAAATGAAAAAGTTATCAGTACTATCAACACGTCCTATTTTGTGTACACATGGCCCCGTGAACAGTTCTTATCGGCTTGCCCCACAGACCCAGCTTATACCGCACATAACACACGCTCCTCTGGAATCCATTGTCCTTCCAGCTGAAATGCCCCACAGCAAAGGACATGCAGGATCCCCTCTAAAACCACAGGCTGCCGACGATGCACCACGGGTGCCTGACCCTTGTTCCCAGGCAGACGCAGGGAACCATCCTTGCACATCAGTATGTGCTGTCCCAACAGCTTCTAGCTTCCATTTTCCTCTGGCAGAGAAATCTGCAGGGCCTGACGCTGAGAAAAGGCTGCACTGTTTACAGGGAGGGGACGTCTAGGCACACCACATCTGTGCCTGTGCTGACACTGCGCACCCAAATGGCCTGTTCGGTAGAATCCAGGCTGTACCACGAGAACAGTGTTTTAATTAAAAATAAATGTTTAAAAAAGCAACGGGAGGGTGGTTTGTGTGACCATAAAGGGCAGCACGAGAGAACCATCCAGTGCTGGGGTGGTTCTGTCTTGGCTGTGGGGCTCCCGGGGACCCCGGGCTCTGGTGCGAGACGCAGATGAGGAATGAGCAAGGGGGACGGAGGTTCACCGTGGGGGCCCTCACTTGCCCCCGCAGGGAGGAGCGCAGCCTGCTACCCCTGCTCTGGGACTTGTCAGCATATCCATGTGGGCGCCGGCGCAGCTCTCGAGCTCAAGGGTTCAAAGTACCAAAGAGTAAATACGGGCAACCTCCTCGTCCAGGTCCAGCTACGTCAAGGTGGGACCAGAAAGGGGCCAATCATGGCCACGGCCCCACCGCCTCACTTCTGGTTTAATTCCTGGGATAGCTTCTGTATTTTCAGAAATATGAAATGTCTTTAAGGGACGCGACGTAACGACGTTGCGAGGTTACCTGTTAATTAAGCCTTGGACCTGCCTCTTTAGCCGTTCCTGCTCTTCCCTTTTCTGGGCATCCACTGTCTCCTCGGTCCGCCTCATACAAGGTGGGATGTACTTGTCACCATTTTCACAAAGACTCTGCTTGAAAAGACAAAAATAAATTACCAAAAATGTACATCGAACAAATCCCACTTTTTCCTTCGCTCTACTCGCCTTTACATGCTAACTTCCCCCAAAGTGGCAGAAGCTGTAACTACTGACCATGGCTGCTCAACAGACCTCAGGCCTTTGCCGAGTGCCCCGGACAGTCCTGGACATGCTCCACCCAGCAGTCTGCGGGTGTCACCACCTACATTAGTGTCAACACGTCTCCCTCGGCCTTTCTTCAGACCTGGCCGTGCCCCCCCAGGGTCTGCCGACAGAGCCCTGTATTCCACACGTCAGTCCGGGCTTAGTTTCCGGCGGGCACGGCTGTACGCAAACACCTAAATTAAATGTACCCCCCGTTTTGGAGGGGCAGTGCTCTCAAGCCATTTCAAGAGTGTTCAAAACTAACATCCAAATTTACATGATAGAATCAAAATCGATCCGCAGCTCACTGTCTCCCAGATTATCAATGCCGGGAATGCTGGGATAAAAAGAGGCGTTTTCTCCCTGAACTGCTCACTACGGGAACGTATAAACATAAAAGTAGACAGAAGAACCGATTTACCCATACTCAGCCCACACCATTATCAATACTTCAACGGGCCGCCCCAACGCCGCGCCGTCCCCGTTATTTTGAGGGACATCTCAGGGGCCCCAGGCTGCTCACACCATACCTGAGGCGCTGTGCCCACGCCCTCCGAGGCATTTTCACTCCTTTCTTCCTCCTCTGCGAAGCGGACTCTCTTCCCCCGCCTCTTCTCCTTCGCTGTCCCTCCCGCTTCCTCGGCGTCTCGCTTTTCTTCCTGTGCTTCCTCCTCCTCCTCCTCGCTCCGCGCTCCCGCTTCTACCGGCGGCTCGTCCTCCTCCCCCCACTCGTCCTCCGAGTCGCTCCCCAAGTCGCTCTCGGGCAGCGTCCGGGCGGCGCCCTCCGCCTCCTCGTCGCCGCTGCTGTCGCACAAGCCGCTGCCGTCCCCCGACCCCAGGGCTCCCAGGAGGTAGTCGAGTCCGTCGCGGGCGAAGCTAAGCGGCACGGAGCTGGCGTCGCCCTTCCTTCTGCGCTTGCTCAGGCCGAGGCGGCGCTCCAGCCTTCGGATCTCGCGGTCCTCCTCCTCGTTGGCGGCCAGGAGCGCCCGCTTCCGAGCGGCGGCGGCCGCGGCTGCCGAGGGCCCGGTCCTCCCGGGGGACCCCCTGGCCCGGGCGAGGGCCGGGGCGGCCTCGGCCGGGGGAGGTGGCGGCGCCGCGGGCGGCCGCGGGGCCCGACGTGGGGGCGGCCGGACGCCCTCCCCCTCTGCCCGGGGATCGCTCGCTACCCTGGCTCCGCCGCCCGGGCCTGGGCCGTGCGCGGGGCCTCCGGTCCTCTGAAGCCGGCGCGCCTTCCTCAGGTGTCGCTTCTCCTTCCTCAGCTCCCTGCGGCTCTTCCTCCCGCCGGGACGCACGCGCCCCCCCGCCCGGGGCCCCTCGCGGCCCCCGGGGGCCCCTTCCTCGGAGGTCGCCTGCACGAACTCCTCCACCGCCAGCTTCAGCCGCTTCAGGGCCCCCTCTCCGCCGCCCCCGCGCCCGCCTCCGCGCTTACTACCGGCCGCTCGCCGCCGGCGGCCGCGCACGCCTGACACTCCCGCACTCATGGGCGCCGCCATCTTCCGGGACGCAGCGACGCTGACTTCCGTCCGGGGCGGGACTTCCGTGCTGCACGGGGCGGGGCGGGGCGGGGCGGCGCCCCCTGCTGGCGACTGGGCGGCAGCGCAGGGGACCGCACAGTAGCAAGCGCGCCTGCTTTGCCTTCGTGGGGAGTACGCAAATGCGTGCTCATTTAATAAATGAAAACCCTACAGGTTGTGGTCAAGAGGCTCTTCACGCCCGTCACAGAAGTAACCGCACTTGTCACCAGGGCGTGAATCTTTTCAGACGTGTGTGCATTTACTTGGGTGTGCACATGTCCCACGTGAAGGTGTGTCGTGTTGTTTCCTGCGTGTATTTCCCCGGGAGTTTCCATGCTGAGCCGACTGTTCTGAGACTTGGTTTTGCGCTCAGCCTCAGGCCTCAAGAGGCCTCTGGTGCCTCACCTCCTTCTGTATCGGGGTCGCTGGTCTCGCCTGGGTTGCTGTTCCCCGACTTACTCCCCTGTGGATAGACTGCGCCGGGATGATTAGTGTCCCCCAAGGTCATGTGAACGTGACCTCTTTTGGGATTAGGGCCCTTGCCAATGTAATCAAGTTAAGAGGAGGCCTTCCTGGGTGGGAACGGGCCCTAAATGCAATGACGGGCCCTAAATGCAATGACAGGCGTTGCCGTGAGAGGGAAGTTTGGACTCGCGCAGGGAGAAGGCCTCGTGACAAGGGACGCAGAGATGGGGGCGATGCGTCTCCAAGTCAAGGAACTCCGAGGGCTGCTGGTTACCACCAGGAGCTAGGCAGGCACCGGCACAGAATCTCTCTGGCAGCCCCGGGAGCCAACCCTCCAGGAGCCCGCACCTCGATTTCAAAGGCTGAGGTGAGGGCCGAGCCTGCCCAGCAAGGTCCAGCGTGGAGCGCTCAGGCGCCGCCCGCCTGCCCGGACCACTGTCTCCTACGTCCCCGCGGAGAAGCGGCAGGAGAGGGAGGGACTCCCAGCTGTCTGGGGGTGAGGAGCAGGAAGAGGGGTGCCGGGGCACTGGCCCACCCACGCGTTCCTTGGTACCCCCCAACGATTTCCGCCCCGAGGGGCTGGGGACCAGCGTGCAGGGCTGTGCAGGGGAGACGCAAGAGCAGGAACGGCAAGCGCGCCTCGGCCCGTGTCCACAGCCTGGCGCCCCCACCCCGAGCCCCAGGTCTCCCCAGGGATCTCACTGCTGTTGTCACACCCTGGAGCCCTTGCGTCGCTCTCATTCGGTAATTTCTCTGGGGGTAATTGAGGAGAGGGAGGCAGTCCCCCTTGCTACTACCCCATTTAACAGGAACCAAATGGACAAAATTCCTTTCTTCACGCGGAGTGCAGAGAAGGGCCCTGGCACACAGCTGCTCAGTAAACGTCAGCGCCCTCGTGATCGGGGGGCTCCCGCCAGTCCTCTGCCTGCTCACGCTCGGACCCCTGATGCTGTGTCCGCTCTGGCTTCCTCAGGGCGGGATTTTCTTGGCTCTGAAGTCACGACTTCTAAGACTTTGTGGGGGAGCGATCGATGTGGGCAAATCTTGGGGATATTTTTCGTCCCCAGAGCCCAATGTGAAAGAGGCCTTTGGCAGTTATTCTGGCTGCTTCTCACCTAGAGGTGCCCTGTACCTCCAAGCCTGCAAACTGCTCAGGCACCCCCCCAGGTGCCTCCCCAGGCCCATTCCCCAGGACCCCTCCCCCAGCTGTCCTTCCCTTCCCCCCAGGCATTGGGCAGCTGGTGGAGAGGAAGTTCTGTTTCTCCAGTCCTGGCGAAAGGGCTGGGTGGGAAAATAAGACACTACCATGTCTGGCTGCAAACATAAAAGAGCGTTGATGACTCGGGGGCTGAAGTGTGTGCAGTAGGGCACGTGGCAAGTAGTAGGGCTGGAGTGCTGGTGTGCTCAAGCGTGTGAGTGTGTGTGTGTTCCTGTGTGTGCCTGTGCCTGCAAGACATGGGCTTGAAGAGGCTGGCAGGGGCCAGGTGGGAAAGGTATGGCTGTGCTCTGTTTTGTGTTTCTTCTGGGAGCAGCGGGAAGCCGGTGCTGCAAGGGGAGCGGCCAGTAAGAGTTGGGGGAAGTTACCTACGTGGATCTGCATTCAGGAAAGGTCACCCTGCTGCTTGCAGGGCTGACCCAGGCGGTCAGGACTGATGCGCAGACAGAGGCTCTTGCATCAGACACTTGTCCCCCAGCTGGGAAGAATTGTTGATTGGGGCTTTGCCTGACAGCTCTTTAAAAATAATAGCATGAATGATCTATTAAGAGTAATATGACATACAATTTAAAGTGTGACCTTTTAACTCAGTGTCTTAGTTTGTTAGGGCTGCTATAATAATACCACAAACTGCGGCTTAACCAGCAGACGTTTACTCCTATGGTTCTAGAGGCTGGACTTCTGAGATGAAGGCACCAGATTCTGTGTCTGGGGGGCTGTGTCCTCATGGGTGGAGGGAGAGGGAGGGGGTACCCTTATCAGGGCACTGATCCCATCCTGAGGGCTCCACCCCCATCACCCAATCACCTCCCAAAGGCCCCACCTCCTAACACCGTCACCTTGGGGGACTAGGGTTTAATGTATGAATTTGGGGACACAAACATTCAGTCCATAACCCAGCTTCACAGACTTTTTTGTTTGTTTGTTTCAATGCATCCATTTATTGATTGATATTTTAAAATAGTGGGGTTTTTTTCTGATACAAAACTAATTCTCCACACCATAAAAATGGAAATATTCTAGTTATCTGTGTAATGTAGAAAGGAGAGGTCCTCCAAAAGCTCTTCCTTCCAGAAGCACACAGCCGCCCAGGTTTGTAACGCAGATGTTAACGCAGATGTTACTGTTATTTTGTACAAAAAGAAGGCACAGTTTGCAGTTTCCGCCTCGCTCTGGGTGGTACAGCTTGGGTCTCGCTCCACGTCAGTGATCTGGGTCCTGGCAGCAGCCTGTTAGCTGGGCGCCTGTTAGCAAGTGGTGTCTCAGGGCCTCCCCAGACCCATCGTGTCAGGAGTGGCATCTTTGGGCACATGGACATATGGGAATCACTGATTCTGGACCCCTAGCTCTTCTCAATGGCTTTATGAGCATAATTTACGTAACCCATCTGCTAATGGAGAATATTTGTTTCCTTTTAAAAGCATATATAATTTTTGCACTACTAAAATGCTATAGCAAACATCCCTCTGTGTGTGTATGTGTGTGTGTGTGTGTGTGTGTGTGTGTGTGTGTGTGTGTGTGTTTGCAGCACTGTGCAAGCGTTTCCCAAGGCTATCACCCTAGAAGTTGCTTAGGGAAGGTGTATAAATATTTTGTTTTCGTTCACAGGGAATGTTGCATTTCCAGCGCCTGCTCAGGTGCCCCATGCCCGCTCCCTCACTGACTGGTCTTGGGTTTTCATTTTTGCCCATCTGCCAGGTGAGAGGCCAGCACAGCGGTGCCCTGGGAGTGGGAGGCCCTGGCTGCGAGGTCACCCAAACCCTTCCTCAGCGTCCTTCACCAGCCAGCCACCACTGGTCAGACCTGGGCGCTGCCCAGTCTCTTTCTTTGTGTCCCTGTAGCCACAGTCCCAGTGCAGCCACAGCCGGGCCCTCCCTTTGTCCTCTGCAGTCCCCTGGCTGCCGGAGCTCTGGCTCTAAGCCTAAACCTCTCCGTGCCATTGTCCTGCTTCCGATCTTTCAGTGGCTCCCTGTGGCCTGCAAACCAGCAGGGCAGCCTTGCCTGGGATGCGAGACCCCTTCACACTCACCTCAGCCCAGCTGGGGCTGTCCCACCCCCAACGGATCCTGAGTTTTGTAGGACACTGGGTCTCACACTCCCTGACCCCTCATGTGTCCTGTGGCTGGAGCACTCCCCCCTTTTCTGCTTGACCAACCCCTACTTTGCTCAGAGACAGTTTCCCTGAGGCGGTTAGCCACTCCTACTGTAACCCTCATCTATGGGAATTCTGTGGTTACCTCTGACCCCCACACTGGACTGTGTGCTGAGGAAAGAACTCAGACTCTGTCTTCTTCAGCTGCTTGCTCACGGCTCCCCTCCCACCCCCAGGGCCCAGTCCTGGCACACAGTAGGCCCTCAAGTATGTGTTGGGCAAATGAACAAATGAGTGAACAAATGGCTCAGTGAACGCCTTAGCCAGATCGAGTTGGGGCAGAAATGAACTTTCAGACCCACCACATCCACTCTGCTCCTTTTGGTAGGTGACCTGTCTATGGAGCAGTGGAGCCAAGAGCCGCAGGGCCCAGGTGGGGCTCAGAGGGCCCAGGTGGGGCTCAGGCAGTAGTGAACTGTAGCAGGGCTCAGACGACACTTGGAGAAGGACGTTTCGGTGGGAGAAGCTTCTAGTGAAACTTGGCCCTTAGCTGAGCTTGTCAACAGGGCCTCCAGTCCATTGTTTATTAGACGTCAGCTGTCGGGTAAGCTCACCATTTGACACCGTGCACCGGATGACTAAGGAGATGTCCCTGGGTCACAGACCTGTGCTGACATCTCTTGCCCGACAAAGAAAAGTAGAAAAAGGCATAGTTATATGTTGTGGTTTTCAGTGTTTTTAGTTTACAGGCCAACTGTTTATCACTGTAAGACATGGATCTATAAATAAATTTGAAAGCAGTGATACATCTGGGCCTCTGTGGGCCTCAAGTTGAGGCAATGGTCTGTAAATATATTTGTCGGTGTCACTGATCCCTGTTTTATTAATGCTGTGGCTTTTGTTATAGCTATCGATCTCCTCCCCGATTACCAGAGTCCCTACAAAATCTTCGTTGCTGGGCGGGGCCCGCCGGTCAGCTCTTAAGCTTCATCCGAGGAACATAAAGTGCCGTTGTCTCCTTCTGGCTCTGTTTCAGGTGCATCATTAATTTTCATTAGGTCTTCCTGCTCTTCCTCTGCGTGCTCCCCATTTTTGGTGTGCTCGTGTATTACCTAGAGAGGCTCCCCCCCCGTTTGCAGTGCGTATTACCTAAATGCTCATGAATTAAGGGTAGGACGTTACATTTCGACACAGGCGCACTTACCTTCTTGATAAAAGATAAGCTATTTTGTTAGTTA